AGAATAAAGCAAACCCTTTCTTTGGTGTAAAGGTAAACTAATGAATCCATTTATCACTGTCAGTGAACTGGTTTTTTCCAACTAAACCGCACAATGCTAAAACTTTTTAAACCGCTTTGCAAATTTTAAGTAAAACTTCTCGTCCAGCCACACAATGATTGATGAATGCAGGCCAGTTAACAGCAAGAAAGATCACATTAAGCTTCACCACTGTGACTCATTTTGACATCATAAAAAATAACACTCTCCAGCTATCCAACAGAAGTGCTGAGAGAATGAATCACCGAGCAGCTTTCGGCAACAAAAAGGGAATACTTTCAAACGGAGACACTGAAGCTCGAAGCTGCCGTCCTCGTTTCGCAGGGAGAGAGTCACGTTCTGCGTGTAAAAAGAAGGGAAAGAAATTCATTTCAAAGACGAGGGGCCGACACTGACTGAAAAGTAATGAATATTTTACAGGTGAAGAGAGCAAAGCTGCGCTCTAGGTGACACTCTGGCGACTTTAGAGCTTATCAGAAAGCCATCACCCACAGAGCATGGCCGAAGCAGACCATGTGTCTGATTGTTTATCGGCAGAGCGCTCCGAGGTCCCCACTGTCCCTCCTGGCACCTGCGTGGTGCTTCCATTTTGGTCCAATCACTGTGACAGCATGAAGAAACATAAATGGTCATTTTGAAATGAAAGGAGCGCTGGTGTTGAGGTTCAGCCTCTAAAAATCCAGGCGTATGGAAGAAGTTTTATGCTTTAAATGCGAGTCTGGATCTTTGTGTTTAGCTGATATGAACTTAGCATGAACAGCAAATGAAACAGCTGCTGTACCCTGGTAGAAAAAATATATATAATATTCAACTTTGACCCACCGTCACACATTAAATCCGCGCATTGAGGCTATTTGATGTTTTATTAAAATGAAAAAGTCAACGTTTCTTATAGCTCAAACGAAAGCCCTGCAGCTTTATTGGAAAGCTGCACTGCAAAGCACTGACCACAGGGACACTGACTGAACACACTTTTTCCACCTCCACCTTTATTACTTCTCTGAAAATCTCATCATTTGTCATTCTAAGCCACTGCTACTCTTTGCATCTTACTCTGAAAGTCGCCGCAGAGGTTTTTCTATATGGCTTTAAAATGGAGGGGAAGAACGGGGACCTGAAGAAAAGCAAGGACTGTAAGAGTTTTTCAATTTAGCCCAACAAATAGTTCTCCTAGCCGTTTGCCTCTGTGAGACTGGATCTTGTAATGGTTTTTATGGTCTTTAGGTTGAAGGACTAAATAATTCTTTATTCATCTGGAGAGAGTAAACCATCCTCGATTTGAAACGGTGAAATTTTCAAAGTTACTACTTTTAAAGAAAATAACAAAACAGCAAAAGTTTGATTTCCGTATTTTTAAAATATGTACTGTTAGAAATTAGTTTTGATATTTAAATTAAAGAACGATTGTACTTTGATTTGAGGCTGTAAATAAGGAAAATTATCAAACCTTCACATCAAGGGAGTTAGTACATCTCTCTTCTATGGAATATATTATAGAAAATAGCGAAAAAGCATGCAATTTGCACCCAAAAAAAACACAAAAAAACTTGAACTGGAATATGAATTACATTATTTAGCATCAGTAGTGGATATGCTGCACACACATTACATGAAAACACCAAAGGAGCTATTTTTCAAAAGTATATTTATATTTTAAAACATATTTTGAATTCTTTGGCATTTTTTTGACAGTAATTAGAAACACATTGGAGGGTCTGAGGGTCTGGAGTTACAGACCACTGAGCAGAACTACATTTGGCTTGTATTGTTTCTCACAGTCTGTTAGATGTTGACTGAAATAAAACATCTGTTAGCAGAATATGTTTAATTCTGAAACTTAAACAAGGTCTTTACTCTTACGTCTACATTTTGACACTAAGAGCTAAGAAATCTGCTGAGAATCCCTTGATATCTTTCAAAAAACCTTCCATTTCTTTGCCAAAAAAAAAGCAGCTTCTTAGAAGTGTGAATTCTTCCTGTTCAGACAAGGTCTGACATATCAAACGACTTCATATGATCTTTAATTTTGTATTACATTTATGTTCCTAACGATGTCCCTGAACCATAACTCTGACTAGGCAATGAAGATGTGAGAACCCGGCAAAGAAAATGTGTTCTTGGAAAGGCACTCCTCCCCTTTTCAGATTTAAAATGGCTGGAATTATAAATCTTACTTCAAAAAAAAAAAAAAAAAATCTTTCAACTTTGCATGCATTTCTAAAATCAAATCATTGTGTAACTAAACTTTTCATATTTACAAAACAAACTTCTGGGTGCAAAAACACGCTACGCTTTAAATTTTATGCACCTTTAAACCGCGAGACACCTATGAGACTGAAGAATTGCCGTGAGATATTATTTATGCATTTTTAAGAGAAAAATAACCTACCTTGGAGCAAACTTAAATTGTGAAAATTGAGCCCTTCTGAGGTGCTGGCACTTCACAATTTTTTTTAAATTATTTTCTAACTTCTCCTGAGTAATTGGGTTCTTCCTGTGTTTTCCCCTGGAGAGAAACAGAAATTGCATGAAATGAAGAGCAACATCTTTTTGCAAACACCTTGAAATGAAGAAAAGTGGAACTGACAACACATCCCTATAGCGTGTGTGGCCATCGTGCCAGCAAAGCAGTGCTTGAACAGGGGTATTTCTTGAAATGGCGTGTGTCTTCCATCCTGTGGGTGTTTGTGTGCTCAAGGTGCCTGCCAACTGAACGACTTTGCTGGGAGGGATTAGCAGTACAGTGATCTCTTCAAGTGTATCTGAAGCCTCGAAAAAAGAAATATTCAACTTCACACAGATTCGGGTAGAGTGCGCAAGACATCCAGAGCCTTTGCTGAGACTTTGCATGTTCTTGCATCATCGTACTTTTAATTGAGCTTCCTCTTCCTGTCCCATTTCTCTCCTCTCTGCCCAAAAGTGGGGAAACTGAGCACATCAATATTTCTCCCAGCAAATATATTTTTTTAAATGAGCCTATTGATGTTAAATTCACATCAGCTGTCAGCAACAGCCCCAATGATCCACGCATACAAAGAAATCATTACAAACAAGTCAAGCAGTAATGAGAAATGAGGGGGGAAGTATGGAGCTTGCTTTCTAAAATAAAAGAAAATTGTAATGAGCTGATGAGAAGCGCACGCATCTCTCCCAGATGAGCGGCGTCAATATTTAGATGCTACTTGCAGGCAAAACCAGAAGTTTACATACAGTAAGAGACACAAATACATTTTTTCCTCATTTCCTGAAGTTAAATTAAACCAAATGACTCTTGTTTTTGATCAATTAGAATTACCAAAGTTATTTATGTTTGTAAATGCCAGAAGGCTTTGCAACAACATTTTTGTTTTTTTTACACTTTCTTTGAATTCTGAAATGTGCCGACTTGGTTGGTTAATTGGTTTTTAAAGGATGTATTTCATGGGTCAAATGTTTGGGTTTCCTTCCACAAATTTGAACAAAATACGTTTTGTACCTTGAAGTTTGCTAACAAATCTAAAATAAATTTAATAACAGATAAGAAACAAAATCATTGATACCAATCACTTTCGAAAAGGTTATAAAGCATTATCCACAAATGGAGAAACATAGAACTTGTGAACTTTACCAGAAGTGGACGACCTATTAACCCAAGAGGGAATCAGTCAATAATAGAGGACAATGTCCGTAGTAGTGCAGACTCTGACTGCTACAGATGCTGTGTTCATGGTCCAATGATAAGAAAGAGACTGGGTAACTTGGCATCCATAAAATAGTTCAAATACCAACGCAACAGCTGACCAAAAAGTGCACAAAGGGCAGTTTCATAAACAATATTTAGATGGAAACATTGGGGAAAGTTTTCAGTTCCCTACGAAGATAACAGTGAAACCTTTTGGAAGTTAAGTTTCCTGGTACATTTAGTCTGAGACTAAATGTATTTCACATAAAGGATATCAGACTGGCAGTCGACCATGGTGATGGTAGAGTGATGCTCTGGGGACTCTTTACTGTTTCAGGAAGTACAAGACTTGCCTTATTTCCTGGAGCAGCAAAAACTGGAGTAAAACACTCATAAGCAGTTATTTCATACACTTAATGTTGTTGCTGAGTGGCAGAACCAAGTTTTAAGTGGTAATTACTTTATTACATCGGGCCAGGTTAGTATGAATATATTTTCAGCATTTTAAAAATACAATTCCCCATTTACTCATCTTATCTTTAGTGTTAAAAATATGTTGATGATCCAACACATTTAAGAGTGACAGAATAGCAAAAGTAAAAGAAATCACAACACCGTCTTTCCTATGATCCATTTGCGACTCCCTCCTCCTCCTCCTCATTTTGCAGGAAAGCGAATGTACAGTCACATGAACTCATTAGCATTTCATCCATGTCTTTGTTTTCTCTCTGCTCTGGCAAAAAGAATCAATAGGCATAATGCAAGTTGAAAAGAGAAGCATGAAGAAATCAATCTTAGCTCGCAGTGAGGATGAGAAACTCACTCCCATGTGCTCTCATAATATCAGCTCCTACACAGAGAGCGCGAAGGAGACGGTCTACGGGGGAGGCCCAGAGGACATGGCAGGACTCCACCTGCACTGCTGATCAGTAAAGGGGGAGGCTTAGCTGTCGCAGCTGGAGAGACTTCACTCTGATCAATATTTCATGTCTTACATAAAGCTGTTGCACAGGTCATATTTTAACCATCCCCAGGCTCAGCTCCTTTTCTTAGTGAAATATTCCTCATGGACGGTTAGAGAAATAAAAAAGGTTTCAAAAGAGCGAATGAGAAAAATCAAGGACATTCCTCAAGAGGAGACGTCTGCAGCTAAACTCGTTTTAAACAGATCCCTCTCTTTCGTTTGTAGCCTCTCTGATATCCTGCAAAGCATTAGTCATCCGTGTTGTCATGTCGATGACATTCTCGTCAAATAAGTGCTGATGCACACCGCACAAAAGAGAGGGGAAAAAAAAAACACTCAGTTTCATAAGATTTATTCATAGGAAAATAATATAACAATAATAAGAACGTAACATACATTTTGAACTGCATTAATAAGGATTCTGCTCCACGAGATGTCACCCTGATTTAGGAGTCGTCTTATCTTTTTCACACAGAATCACAAAATTTGTTAAACTATATATAGATATATATTTGCTAGAACAAATGCAGTCATGCAAAATGACTTCTTTCTGTGCTTAAGGAAATTCAGCAACACTTGTGAAGATTTTGGTAATTTTTGCTGATAGCTTTTGACAAATGAACTGTAAAAACAAAAGAACAAAAGGAAAAGGAAGAGAGAAATGGAAGAAAAAAAATCCAGCCCGCTTAATTTAACCAACTAATAAAAAGGCTGGCTCACGTCTTGTTATATCAACCACATCACAACACCTATGCAACATCCCATCTCACATTGTAATATCCCTCTAAAGGTGCAATAAGTGATTATTTCTGTCCAATAGTACAAACTAACTTTGACAAACTATTCTAATCTACTTCTTTCCCTGCCTACTCCTTCGATTCATCATAATAGATGCATTAATAGCACCTAAAGCCAATGAATATGCGGTCATGTTATAATATTGATTTAAAAGAATACGTTAGGCAAATTGAGCCAATATCATGTATCTTAATAGTCTTTAGCATTCTCCTACGTTTGCTGTGCCAGAGATATGTTGAAGCAATTTTAATATCTGGCTCTTTATAAAGATCTGTATATGATTCTATTTTAACAGGATGGTTCAAATTATTTGAACTGGGGTTCTGTGGAGTTGTTGTGAGCAGTCAGTATTCTGCTTGCAGTAGATGACTACCTGATCGAGCTCAGTCTGCAGGAAGAGAAATTAGTTCTCTGCATACACTCTCATGGTACAATACCCTTGAGCAAAAATGCTATTTAGATTAAATAAAGCGGATAAAAATATATAGACTTACCTAAATAACATTATTTATGTTTATTTAGATCATGACCGCTGGAGAAAGACACCAACCTCCCAAAAAGCCCTAAATGAATAAGTGGGTATAAATGATGGTGGGATGGATGAATGGATAGATTGATTATTTCAGTTAAAATATTGTGATTGTGATTTATCAATCTAAGCAACAACAAAGAAATGTGTTGTTAACATACATCCTGCTAAAAGCTTGTGAGAGGGAAAAAAGGCAGCCAGCTGAATAGCAGTGCACAGCAATGTTTGGGAGGGTGGCATTAATCCACTACTCGATACTTAATTTATTTTAAAAAAAAACTAGGGTCATTCTGGTACTATTTCTCATATAAAAAATATATTAAACTGCATAACAGATGGAAAAAAGTACACGTTTTTAAAAACTACATACTTAGATATTGCTAATTGGCTTTCCACACCTCAGTTTAGGGCCCAAACCAAAGTGAGTTTCTGACATCTAAAGACAGAAATCTACCTCTGTTAAGCAGTGGTGTAATAAGATCTTCTGGCGCCAGATCTCAAGACAATAAAATGTCACAATATTACTCATCAAATCCAAGCCTGTGTTGTAAACTGCTATCCAGCTGCTGCCAGCTTGTGACTATCTGTCAAAATAAATGTAAGCTATTATTCTGAGCACTGAACGAAATGGTGAGCATTTAATCTTAGTACCCTGTTCTTTTTATATACTTAAGACTTATTTTGAAGTATGAGGAAGTAGTTATTGAGCTGTTGCACTGTTCTGCTGACAAAGTTAGCTAATGCAGACGCCGTCGGGTTGGTAAACCACAGCACTGAAAAACCTCCACCACTTTTAAAGTTCTTAACTATCAGGATTTTAGCTACTCAGCAGAAAAGTTGGAAGAGTGACAGATAAATTATGAATAGTTTGTAAGCATTATAGGAATACACGTATAGCTAACAGTTACTAGCGATGCAAACATTACTGTCCGCTTTGCAGCTTCCTGTTAATGCTAAAGTAAAGGAAAACAATGTTTTTTAAATGACTCTGGACTCTTTCATAATTTCTGTTCCTATATTTTATTATTCTATATGTTATTATATATTATGGATCCTATTCTGTACTGCTGTATGTTAATTCAAAAATGTAAAATGGATAGATTGATCAAGCTTGAAATGGGTGGTTTTTCACTGTAGAGAGATTCTAAAAAGCACAGTCTGAAACATAGAAAACCTTAACTCTGCTTGTGTGCATTGTATCACATTTTGAATGTTTCTATGTGAATTAGGACCCCCTTAAATTTAGACATGTATGGAAACCATAATATATCAACCAGAATAACCTGGAGTAGAATATCCCATACAGATAAGATTCTTTGTGGTTTGTAAAACCTTTACATTATATGTGAAAACAGAAACATGGGTCATTCTTTGTTTCCCCAAAATCCAGTTAAAATCTCTTCTTGTCTTGTCTTCATGAACCTATAATCATATTGTTTTCTTTAGTGAGCTGTATTTATTATTGCCCACCTACCGGTAAGTGTAGCACACCGACTACTCAATCGCTCTCCACAGAACCCCACTTCTAAAAATCTGACCTGTGATCTACAGTTTAGATACGTTTGATCAAACAAAGGTGGTCAGAAGAACATAGTAATGTGTGGTAATTAGTCGTAGAAGTGGTCTTTAGTGGCAGCTACCGTGTAGCAATGTGCTTCTGTGTAATTCTTGATTGTCAGATCCCGACCTTCCTGCCGCCTGTGATGGCGTCGGTAAAGTGCGGATGAATTGTGACCTCTGAAAGCTTTTTTATTTTTTTCCGTAATGCGACAGAAGCAGGCAGCGTCTGGGCAGCTTGGAGGCGAGTCTTTAACGAGTTAAAAGGCTGATGTAGTTGAGGCCCATGAGAGGTAGCCGGCCTCGCAATCATTATGCTAAAATGTCAGAATTAGTAGCGTGTGTGTGGGTGGAGTCGCTTACCAGTGAATAAGAGATAACATGGAGGTTGAATGAGACTGAAGACTGACAATTGGAGAACACCAAGAGTTACCTCACTGTTCGTTGTTGTCAGAGAACAAATTTGTTCCTACATAATGTAGCTCCCGTAACTTACCTACACAAGAAAATCACAAAAAAAACCCTATCGTTTATATCTTTTGTGTCTGTTTTGACGTGTTTCTACTCTACTCTTGAATTTCTGTCCACTGTTCACATCCTTGAGATTTTTGTGCTTCCTCCTTGATTCCAATAAGTCTCAGAAATGAACTCCATGCAGGGGGATTGGGCAGTAAAGAGGTTCTGTGAAATTTGTGGCTGTATAGTCTTCAGCCACATGCAGGAGAAGAAATTCAGCCTGAAGCGTCCTTGCAAATACCCTACAGAACCACTAGATTGAGGTTTGCTCCCTGTGAGTCTGTGGAAAATGAAATCCCGGAGTGCTGTTCTCTGTTGGACACCGCTCCGTTGGTCCTCTTCACGAGTGGTTTCTGTATGTCAGTTAGACAGTTGTTTCAATCTTTTCGATGATCTCTATCATTGACTTGGAGGGGGAGAGAAGAGAACAGTCGTCTTGGTCCCAGAGGCTACCAGGGCTCGAGTTTCCATCTGTGCTCAACTCGTCCTCCTCGTCCTCACTTCCCTCCTCGCAGGACTCCAGGTAGTGGAGGCCCAGCGCGTTGATACCGGAGTCCTCGGAGCTGGACGGGGACGAGCAGTGGTCCATTTTAGGGCCTTTTAGTTTCTCGACAGTGGAGAGGTGTTTCTGTTCGCTGTACGGCTGTGGGACCGGCGGAGCAGGAGCCTGCCGCTTCGGGCTCACTGGCTGCTCGGGCGGACTGGGATTAGGAGGCATTTGAGGTGTAGCTGGAGCGGGCGGCTGAGGGGAGGGAGGTCGAGGCGGTTCCGGTAAGGGAGGCAGGGGCCGCTGCACGTAGCACATCTTCCCATTGATCCTTTTGACAATGTAGTCGTCCACAAACAGATCCGCGATGACGCAGTACTTGGGAGACTCCAGGTGAGGCGGAGACTGGAAGCTGGGCGCCAGCTTCAGGAAGCGCTCGGCCAGAGAGACGGAGAGGTCCATGGTGTCGCTGCACTCTGAACCGACGGGCGGCACAGCTGTGCTGGGCAGCTGGCACACATTGGTCATGGGCTGGTACACGTATTTACCTAAAAGCAGAGAGAAATAAATGACAACGTCACTGCAAAAACTAATAATAATGAAGATACTGTAGTCAATCTAAATTGGGAAAAATGTATTTTAGAATGAGTCACCTTTCAAAATGTGTAACGTACTAAAAAATGCAACTGGTGAGGAATACGTTAAAATACTCGCACATTTATTCACTTTTTTTTCCCATTTATTCTCTTTTAACATAATTACTTCACACAGAGCATCACATCATGAAAATCTGTTACTCAACCTTGACGAAGCTTTGCTCTGTTTAACCCTCACACATTTAGTTTGGTGTGACTATTGAAGAGTAAACATCATGGTGAGCCCCTAAGAGCTTCTGATGCCTTCAGAAGGAAGATGTTGTACCTTGCTATGCACCTGGTAAGGGACTTAAAAAGGTCTCAAAATAATTTGAATCAGCAATTCAATGAACAGTCAACAAGTGGAACAACTTCCCATGTCTGGTTGTACAAAAACATTTAATAAAACATTTGGTACCTACTGTGGGTTCTTGCTATTGTTGATTTGAAAATGATATTTATACAAGAACCATCACTGATTCCCATGCCAAAAGAAATGTGACTGAAAGCCAAACAGGGAAGAAAAAACTTTTAACCAGTAACTTTTAAAAAGGATTTTACACTGTAAAAAACAATATGATGGAGATATTTTTAAATCATTGCTTTACAGAAACTTGTTATACATTGACACTGTAAATCAGTCTGAGGTGAACTATGACTGACGTGTTTGTCAAGCAGCTGACTGTGGGCTCCGTCTGAGCAGACAGCCCAACTAACTAAGAAGATGATATGACCTTGTTGTGCTATTAGTGTTACTTCTTAAAGCAAAACTGCAACAAACACTTTCAGTTGAAAACCATGCCTAAATTTAGCAATTGTTTACTCATTGTATCAACATTAATATAATGTAAAATGTTATAAATAATATTATTATATCTGTAATACGTTAGATTGTTTTATCATTTCGGTAATACAGTGAAAGCCTTATATTTCTTCTAAAAGATTACTAACATTAGAATAGTTCTCCATACTCATGCTTAGCAAAATGACAATATAAATCTACAATGTCCTAAAATGTGGAGTGAAATGCCCTTAAAAGTATACTTTAAAATTATTCATTCCCTGCCTATAGTGAAGAAATCCTAAATTTCAACATATCATTCAGACACTTCATTTAACCATGAATATCATTTTAGAAAAAACATTACGGTTCAAGTGAATAGTTTCCTTACCTTGAAGTTATCAGATATGATTTTAAAAAAGGAACTAGATTTACTTTTCAATAAACATTAAAGATGTAGCTTCTAACTTTTACAAAAAATATAGATTTTTTTTTTTACATATTTGCTGTCACTATGTCGTGACAGAATAGGAAATTATTCAGTCTAATCGTAATGTTTTTCTAAAGCGGTACATTTCTTCAGATAGCAGCTCAGGGACGATGTGGAGGAGATTGATCTTTTCACAGATTAGCTGTCTCATAACACACGGTCATGACCTGGTGACAGTTTTAACAAATGTAAAAAAAGAAAAACGTTTTTTTATAAAAGTTACATACTGCAGCTTTAGCAGTGACTTTCTCCTCTTATTTTCAGTTCAGGAAAAAATGAATAATTAACAGCAGAAGTAAAACATTTATATGTTGTTTTTAATATATTGACAAACCATTTCTATAGAGAGGGAAAGTTCTGTGAAGTTTTGAGAAACCCCCCCCCCCCCCCCTCCGAGGGATTCGAGGCAAATTTCAAACCTTTCTAAAAGCTGCCTCAGGCCTAAATCTATTTGAAACCCACAACACTGCCTACCAGTAAACACAACAACAGAGTCGGTGACTGGAAGAACAGGGCATGTGGCAGCTAATGGGCCCAGCATTTTCCACAGAAGCTGCTGAAAACCAACACAGGGTTAGAAGCAGAGAGCAAATATGAGCATCTCCGTGGCTTCGAGGTTAGCACTGTCACATCACATCAAGAGGACCCTGAAGCAACCAGAGCTTATGCGGACTTCCTCTGGGAGCTCCGGTTTCTCCCAGAATCAAAAACACGCTCAGTTAATTCGCCTGCCTTTGACAAAGTGCCCTTGACCATGACAGCTACTCAGAGCTAGAGACTGTCACTGACTGCTATACTGTAGCTGTTTGCTGCTCAAAATACTTTAGATAGAGTGCTACTAACTACAGCAGTATTATAGAGGATGGCAAAAAAACACAGCAACAAGCTGTCTTTAGCATTACAGTAGAGCTAGTAGCTAAAAGTTAGCTTAGCAAAGAAGCATGCCAACACTCCCTCTCTTTAAATGTCATGGGGTTTTCCATAATTGTTTCTTTTTTACCAATTAGCATTTAGGCAAATATTTACAGGCAATTATTGTGGCAACTGTGTTTAGCATTTTTATATACATTACCGAAGATGTTTTTTTTAAATATTAGTTATAGCTCCCTGCAATTATTCATAAATGCAAAATGCTAAAGAAATTCAAAATGTTTTATTTCTTGTGTCAAACCTTGGAGGAGAGATTTCAACTGCCACAAACTTAGAAGAGCTGCATTTGCAATGTGCTTCATTTGCATTATAATCAATTATGAAACGTTGAACATGTTGCTAGTGCACCTGGCCCCAACACTGCGAGCCACAAAACAGCAACAGCACAAATAAAAACACACAAAAATATGCTTTCAGTCGATCTTGGCCAAAGATGCCCCTTTTGAAACATACATCTGTGATAACAATCTGTTCATCCTTAGGGTCAATATTAATTTTCATATCACAAAGCAGTCTCTGCTGCCGAAGGTAAAACATTTATTTTCTTACTACCAACATCTGAGGCCAAACTAGAGCAGGGCACCCAAGCCATTTATATGACGCCTGAAAATAAAATGTGTGGCCCACCTCAGGCAAGTATAAAAGACAATGTTCACAACTAGTGTAAAGTGAGAAAGTGTTTACCTCTTTTATAAAAAAAAAAATACCATTTTCAAATTATTTTTCTTATTTATTAGAGTAAATAATGTTAATGTTATATAATAAGGTTCAAATCAACCTGGCTTAGTATTAAAAGGCAGTTGCCTCCATTATTAAAATATGGTTTAAATCTAATTAACCAATTTAAAAAAAAAAAAAAAAAAAAAAAAGCTCAGTTCAGTTTCACTAGTCACACCAAGGCCTTATTACTGGGAATAAAGAATTCACATAAACAAATCTGTTTGAACAAAACATTAGGCCAAAATATCCCCCCAACAAAAACAAAAAAAAAAAAACACAACCCTCTCCAGTCTACAAAAATTGAAGAACAAATGGGAAACAATTGACACTGATTAATCTGAAAAGCCTTGAAATGCAATTTCTAAAGCTATAGTACTCCTGCAAATCACAGTGAGAGTCATCCCACATGAAGAAAACACAGAGCAGTAGTGAACATTCCCAGGAGTGACCACCCCACCATAAAAGACCGTAGAAACATTCAAAGCACAGCTGACTTCGCCTCATTTGACCTCAGCGTCAATTATTAAAATCCCCCAAACTTCAGAGAAACGTCCTGTGGAATAACAAGACAAAACTGGAATATTTTTAGAAGGCATGTGTCTTGTCATCTGGCATAGAACGAACAAAAAGAGCATCAAATTGACAGTCAAACATGACGGTGGTAGTGTGAAGGTTTGATGTTGATTTGCTGCTTTGGGATGGAACTACGGATTCTGTTATTTTACAGAAAAGGAAGTGAAAAATGGAGAATGTTCAGCCATCAGTGTGTGGCCTTTATCTTAAGCACATTTTAGTTGTGCAGTGAAGCAAAATTGTGAGAACAAGCAATCAAATTGACAAGCTGGGATATTACCTTCAACAGGAAAACCATGTTTTAAAGTTTTCCCACACAGCCAGACTGATTGAGATAGTTTTTTGGAAACTTGAACTTTTTTTTTTTTAAATCAGGTATTCTTTGTCTGAAATGAACATCAGTTTGATGTTCTGAAACATGAAACTATGACAACAAACAGCAGCACATATTACAGATTCAAATTACTAATTAGTGTTAGGTTACACCAGATTTTTCACAATGTATTATAAATTAGCCTGGTCATTTACAAGTTTCTAATGCCTCCAAGATTTTGCTTGTTGTTTGCAGCTGATTGACTCCAGTGTTGCATTAATACTGTAGCTGTCTGTCTAACAGGCCCTCAGGAGAGCCAGAGAAACTACAGAAGATGACAAGCTTACACATCACTTTCTACCACTTTGTGTCCTCGTCTTTTGTTTCCACTGGCATGAAGATCCATTGAATCAGAACGATTTTTTTTTTCTTCCCCAGGTTACAGTGAAAACATAAAGTACGGAAGTGGCTCTGCTTTGTGTTGTCAGTGATTTACAAATCGGCTTCTGTCACAGAATAATTTTCATTCTTCTAACCAAATCGTTATTTAATGATGCGAGTCTCCATCAGGCACCAGTGTGGGGGGGATTAAAGAGGCTGAAGCTTTACAGTGTAAACGCCGTTAACAGAAAAACACTGGAGCTCATGTCGATGCAGACAAAAGAGGGAAAGCAGCAGCCGGGGTCGGTTAAATGAGGCAAACTCAGTGGTCCATGTTCAGAATGAGATGAGCCCATTCAGCCAGACAAGAGCGCGCCCACAAATGAGGGCTAACGCTGTAAAAAGGCGACGTGTTGACATTTAGTTTTTAGCATATTACATCTAATTGCATTCATCCATCTGGAGTTTCAAATACCAAGAGCCCTAGTGAGGGACGGACAGATGCCTGCTCGGACACACAGCACACACGCACACACACGCACACACGCACACACGCAGACACACACAGACATATGGAGCCAACACTACAGCAACACTAGCCGATTTTGGCAGCTCTGCAGAAAGAAGACAGTGAGTATGTAAATTTCCAAGGTGTCTACAGTCTCAGCTAAATACATCCATGTGTCTGTTCGCCTTGAGGAACATTATGGTAAAGCTGCAGATCA